GGGCAAGCAGGAGCGGGGACACCCCTCCCCAACCTCCCCACTGGGCCCCGCCACAGCCCCTTGGCACGGCAGTGTGCAGGCACCCAGCCCTGCATGCGTCCCTCCACGCGCACTGAGGTTGTGGGCGGGCGTCTCCCCATGCGTGGGCGGGCTGGGACTCCCTGGTCCTGGCCCCTGTGGCCGGGGGGATGCTCAGTCCGTGCCCCCGAGCCCCAGGCCAGGGTCAGCAGGACGCCGTGTCGCCACCTCCTTCCATCTCAGGAATGGGCTCCAGCGGGGCACGCAGCCGGGAGGGCTCTGGCGAGGCCGAGCCATTCCTGCCGATGCCACAGGACTGTCCCGCGTTGTGGATCTGCCATAGGTTGTCCAGCGCCTCTGCCTTGGCATGCTTGAGGAGGTCAGCCTGGCCCTGCGCGGGGAGAGGGCGTCAGGGGCTGGCCCCGGGGCTGTGCTATTCGGGCTGCCTGGACCCCCTGCACAGCATGGGCTGCCCACCGGCCACCGCCCACGAGGGGGGCTCGCTGGGTGCGGGCACTGCCTGGACCCCCTGAATGGGCCCGTGCCATCCCCAGCGCTCATGGAGCATCCCCCTGGGTGCAGGTCGGCGGGGTGGGGGTGGCAGGGTGGTGCTGGGAGGAGGCCGTGCAGCCCTTGCCCCTCACCTTCAGGACCGTGATGTTCCAGGCAAAGCTCTCCAGTGCCTTCTGCAGCTTGCGGCCCCGCAGCCCCTCCTTGGCCTCGATGCGGTGCAGCTCCTTGTGGAAGTCCATGCCTGCGCAGACCGGAGCATCGCTCAGTGGGTGCAGGGCTGTGTGCACGGGGACGGCCCACGCCTGCCATGGACAGGGACCGAGCCGGAGGGATGCCCTTCTCCCGGCACGTGGGTGCAGGCTGGGGGGGCTCCCCACTGCCCAGCAGCTGCAAGCCCCCTCTGTGCTGGGAACAATGGGCTGATGGAGCCCCCACCACGCCGGCACCATGCTCGGCCCCAGCCCTTGGCGGTTTTGGGCCCCAGAGGCTGTGGGGTCTGGAAGGGCACCGACTACCCCAGGCAGAGGCATGGCTCTTGCACACCGCAGCCCACCCGGGGGGCTCACAGCATGGCCGCCGGCCCCCCCCCGCCGGAGCGTGGGCCCCCGCGCTGTGCACCGCGTGACGTCCTCGTGAGCGGGTGCTATATTTACCCTTCCTGACGCAGCACCGGCTCCAGGCCCACACGAGGGCTCCCACGCAAGCCTGCTCGCCCACGCACTGTCAATCAGCACACCCCCAGCCCTGCACCCCCGCCCACAGCCGGCACCTCCCCGGACCCCGCAACACCCACCAGCCGGGCACAGGCCGGGCTGGCACCGCAGGGGCTTGTCCGCGGTGCAGCTGGGGCAAAAGCAGGGACAGGCAGCACCCCAGGCATGGGGGTGGGGGTTGCAGCCCCCAAACCACTGCCTGCCATCACCTCGAGGGGCTGGGCAGAGGCAGCAGCAGCAGACGCACACCCCAGAGCCCCTGCGTCCCACAACACTCCCCCCCAGCACAGCAGCGGGACTCCTGCAGCCAGAGTGGCACAGGAGGACACAGCCCAACCATGCCCCGCACCCCAGCCCCACAGCCTGCACCCCCCACACGTCTGGCG